GGACAGGAGACCATCTGCCTCGACCGGCTGGGTTGGAGGACAGGAAAGAGACACAGACAAACACAGAAGAACTGGTCCAGGACTGGTCCAGGACTGGTCCAGGACTGGTCCAGGTGCACCTTCTTCTGGAAGAGACAAAGAAATAAAAACATGTAGCATATGTGGCAATGTCCACAAACAAAGCCCTCCACATGTGATGTCACTTCTTCTTCTGTGCCTAACAGGATCTGTTACAGCTTTATGTTCTGAAGGAGGTCACATTTTAATAATGATCTACCACACACACAAAAAGATCTGAATCTAAGACCTCTGAGAACAGTGTGAACATAAGCCTTACATTAATTTCCCCACTTCCCCATCCACCTCCCACCTCCCTTGGGAGAGATTGTGACGTGTCCAGTGTGAGGTCAAGGACATGGAATTTGAGTGTGCCATCATCAGGGCCTCTGTTACCTGAAGGGCTCTGGTGTCTGTCACTGTGGCAGTTGTGTCCACCAGCAGGGTGAAAAAGGAGTAGTTCATGGTTTAGCTGCCCCAGAGGACTCCTACAGTAGCTGATGGACACAGAGTGGACTAAAGGACTGCAGCTTCTGGTAAAGAAGAAATTCAAAGAGGCCATGGAACAAGATTCTGGCAAATGTCTGCAGCCAAGTGTGAAGTCAGCTTCTCTCTGTCCAAGATCATGTTGGACAACTGGAAACTGGTGTAATTTGTCTTTCAGATTTAGGGGGCAGGGTGGGTATTTTCCTCAAATGGAGGAGTTTAAGTGTCTGGGTGTCTGATCCACAAATGATGATCAGATCTATGATGATGGACCTGGATAGACATCCTTCGTAATGGGGGCTTTGCTTTGTCAGCCGAGATGTAGAAAGAGTTGAGTTGAAAAGCAAAGCTCTCAGATTATCAGTTCTTCTACATTCCAACCTTCACCTATTGGGATGACTGAAAGAACTAGATCTGGGATATAAGTGAACAAAGGGTGGCAGAGCTCAGCCTTAGCCATGAGGTGAGGATCTCAGCTCAGTAAAGCCTCTGCTTCTCTTTATCAAAACGAGTCAGCTGAAGTGGTTCCTGGACGCCTCATTTGATGATTTTCTTGGCATGTCCCACTGGGAGGATACCCTGGAGGATTTCCAGGAGGATACCCTGGAGGATACCCAGGAGGAAACCCTGGAGATGACCCAGAATGTCCAGAAGGACCTATTTATCCTCTCTGGCCTGGGAACCAGAGGGGGAGAATATTACTGGGAGGAGGGATGTCTGGGTTTCTCTCCTGTGACTGGACTATGAACAAGGATTAGAAAATGGATGGATGAATAGAAAAAACTGAAATAAGAGATGTTAAATAATAGAATATAAAAACAAAGAAAACAATAAAACACTTTACAAGTAAACTATTGCCTAAAATGAAACTATGGTGCAAAATTAACTACTTTTTCCCCAATTAAATAAAGTGGTTAAACTTTTTCTGTCAGTGTAAAATTGTCAGGATTTGCTTGTGAGTTCAGCTAACTGCTAGAATCTCCACACTTCAGTTTGAACTGGACAAAGGAATCCTGATTGTTTCAATCATGTTTTTGTCCCACCTGAACAGGTTTATTGTGTCAGCTGATGAACGATACAAGCATTCAGATATACAGTTGTCCTCCCTGTTTTATCTGCAGAGTCACCCAATGCCTCAAACCTGAAGATCTCCCGCATGGATAAGACCTGTGGCACGGTTCTTGGGGGAGATGAGATCTTCCTGCTCTGTGACAAAGTCCAGAAAGGTCAGCTGGCTTTATTTCACGAAGTTTAGAATGTTCTTTATTTTGTCTTTAATAATGTGCTTCTGTGCGTTGCTTCTCAGATGACATTGAGATTCGTTTCTATGAGGAGGACGATGAGGGAGGCTGGGAAGCATTCGGGGACTTTTCACCCACCGATGTTCACAAACAGGTTAGAGGCTGATCTGGGCTCAACACGAGCTAAAGCTGTGACTCATGAAGGAAATAAATCTGCTGCAGCTTTGGGGGAATTCCTTTAACCTTTCTGCAAACGTTGTTTCTTCCTGAACCTTCAGATTAACCATCCAGGTTTAAAAGCTGAGAAGTTTCAGATCCTACACGTCTGCTTCACAGGAAGCTTGTCATTAAAACTTCCACAGAGCTTAAAAAACATGTGTTTATATAAAAAAAGGCTTAAAAATAAGTAAATTTGTGTTTGATATTGGGCACCTGATAGACAGCACCAGGCGGTACCAAACATAAACAAAAATAAGTGTCACTGGTTAAAGATAAATGAGCTTTTTGGCAAATTTTTCATGTGCGCAACCCACGTAGTCAGCTCGACTGCTCATCCCAAAAATGCGTGTTCCTTACAAATGTGGCACCATTTGGAAAGAAATCAACAGGATTTCCAATGGTATAAGCAAAAACATACACAAATTTTAAAGCCCCTCTGGTTCAAACTTTTCCATAGAAAGAATATAATTATACGTATTGTTAAATAATAAAAAAATACAGGAATTTCTACTAATTGATTCTGTTCAAAGAAAAACCAAACGTTCTGTTCAAGAAAGCCTGGAAAACATCCCTGCTAGTTTTCCTGCTGATTAAAAAATGTAACACTAGTGTAACAAAATCCTCGAATAAACAGGAAATGTACACGCTCAAGTGAGTTCTTTTACTTCTTTCTATACGAATTTAATAATAAGCATGACCATCAAACAATGCTAGAAAACCGATTTCATTCAAATGAAAAAGTGGGGACACACCAGCGCACTGAAGCGGCCACAAGCTGCCCGCTACATTTAATTATCAATTGTTTTCCTGACATCATAGTATTTTACCCGTCACTCTTTAATTTTTTACAATTAAACAACGCACCAGTCAAATCTAAGTCTATATCCCAGTCTATAAATCAAAACAAAATGAAATAGTTCATCAATAATAATAGTCCATCAAAAAAGTTCATAATTAGGCAATCCAAAAAAAATAAAGTTCCGTTTGCGCAAGAAAACAACGTTGGGGCCCAAAAAAATATTAATCCGTCTTCGTGCACCAAAAATACAAGAAAAAAAAAAAATTGGAAGGGTCTCACCGGGTCGGCGTTTGTGTGCCCGGGCGGTTCCCTTCGTCAGGCCTGGATCGCGTGCTCATCGGGTCCGGTCAACGCTCCGTGTGGCTCTACCTYGCCTCCAGAAGACTTTTTACCCCTTTGCGAATTGCTCTGGCAAYGCTTTTAGTCCAGCAGTCAGTTATCTCCGGGCTAATCTTGCAAGCTCCTCGGACCGTCGCTCGGCGTCTCTTCTCCGCCTGCTGCCACACCCACTTCTCTATCTCTCTCCTCCGTTTCCTTTGATCCCTTTTATAAGTTCCGCTAAAATATGCGACCCAGATATATTTTTACTAAGTGGACTTTCACAAATAAAATACATACATACAAGACATCCTTGTATACATATCAATACAACAAAAATTATGTGTATTTTATTAACCTATATTTTATTCTCGGAGGTAATTTTTTATTCATTTATTTATTTATTTATTATCTTAAAGCTGCTGTGAAAAATCTCTCTTCCTGTTGGGAAGTTGCGGTCAAAGACAGAAAAAAGGTGAAATAGTTTTCTTTGTATTTCTCTGTCTGACTCAGTTCAGTCTGTTCACCGTGGAGACTGAGCTCCGTTAACGAGGGCAGAAAGTGAGTAAGCTCTGTGTGGTTTTTATTTTTTAACACCTGCATCCAGATGTGGACCGGGCAAAGGAACGTGGCGAGACTCGACTGCAGGGCAAACAGAACGGTGATGCAACCAGAGAGATTAGAAAGGAAGCAGAGACTGAATTAAAATGCTGAAGTGGAAAAACTGTTTGATTTTAAACATTTCTCCTATAAGTTGCAGGAGGTCCATCACTGAAGCAGAGAAAACTTCCCATCAGTCATTTCTTGTTCCAGAGTCAGGCCTCGAGGGCAGCAGCTGGAAACTTCAGTCTGAATCTCCTCAGATTAAGTGAAATAATCTCAGTGGAGTAAGACAAGTGTTCTTGGTAAGACTTCTTGAAATAAGAAAAATTTCCAGGCTAATGAGATTAGTAATCTAATATTCTGTTCTTTCTATAGGAAGTAATGGTAATAGTAAAATTATTGTGAGCATTTAAATATGATTTATTGACTCTATGTACAGTTTAAAACAGGACATATAAACATAATTTATTGAATTACTTCTGTGCAGCACCTTCCTGTCTTTACTTATGACTAAAATTAATGTTTATATTTAAAAACAAGGTGCTTCCTACCTTCAAACCCCAACTAAAGTAGTCAGTCTGACCAATCCTGTCTTTAACAAACCACGCCCACAAAAGTCAAACAGACCAATCGTGTTCTGGACAAACTCCTCCCACAAAACAAGAAACTCCCATTTAGAGACTGCAGAGACCCCCTGCTCTGCAAGTTGAGCTCAGCTGAATGAGTAACATGTGTTTGTCTTCCTGTGGACCATCACCTGCAGGAGAGGTCATCACCTGCAGGAGGGGCCATGGATGGGGGTCTTGGCCCTCTAAAACTAGCTTACTGAAGCTAAATCTTGGTCTACAAAGGAGATATAAATATTATCATATTCACACAGACTTTGTGCTCATGAGATGATAACATGTGTCCAGTGGTTTAAGAGACATTNTCACATGAGCGCTCACGTTTCCACATCAGACAGCACCGTGTTGGTTCTGTTTGGGTTTCTGCAGGGTCGCCTCCCGTCAGTGAGGGTCTCTGGTTCTGGTTTATGTTCCCAAAGGGAACCTGAGGACCCTCCAGTAAGACTAAATGTATTTATGTCCCCGAAACACTTCTGCTCATCAACGCAGTGTTTTATATGTTTATGTTTAAAGGCAGGAAATCATAATTATTTGTGTGTGTTTGTCTGTTAGCAAAATATCTCATGACAAATTGAAATGAAACCTGACTTAAGACTGCCATCTCTGTCCAGTGGCTCTGATGAAGTTAATTTCCCAGATGTTGAGCTGAAACTCTGTGTGGTAGTAGCAGAGAGTCATTGGTCATTCTGACCAAACCAAGATGGCTGCCACAGACTGGCGACATGAATGAATTCTGTTCTCAGGTTTAAAGTCTGGAGGTGAACCGAGGTTCTCTCCTCCTGTCATATTGTTACCGTGACGACCCTCGTCTTATTTACCAGACTCAATGCCTTATGATAAAAGGTGCTCCAGGTCTCCATGGCAACGCTGTGCGTAGGCATTGCATAAGCAGGAGGAAGAGGAGCATCCTGCTACTGGGTGTGTGCAGGTGGAACCTTTACGGCCTTTCTTTTATTTATTTGTCCTCTGACATCCCATCAGAAAGCCTCTCTTTTTACTGCAGGTACGCACCACCTGGGGGGGCTGCCCGGTCCAGACCCCAGAACTGCTCCAGAACCAGCTGAAGCCTACAGGGCCGGGCCTCAAACCAACAAAGTCTAGTTTAATTTTTACTTTCATAACATTTAATGTAAAATAAACACAATTTCTCTGTCACAACTTATAAATTGTGACCCATCACATCGGATTCAGTCCAGATGTGGAGAAACAGGCAGATAAAGGGTTTTGATCTAAACGTGTGCAAAAACAGCATTTTGTCAAAATAAAATGAATTAATGCCTTATCAATGAATCATGAACTGTCTGGAATATAAAATGTTGAATGTTTCCCTGTGAGCTAGAAATGTTTTTATTTCTTTGCAACTGGGAAATCTTAATATACAAATACTGTTTGAGGTTTCCTCTTTATATTAACATCAAAAATTACTCAATAAATTTACATAAAATTAGGATTCAGACCAAACAGCAAAGTTTCATCGTAACCAACAAAACAAATTAAGTCATATCTCTGGATAAGCTTATGATATCAGAATGATCCAGGTA